TGAATCAGTGATTCAGTGTTGGAGTAGTAGTGCAGAGAGAGGAGTGAACCGCCAGTACATACGAAAAGCCCAAACACTCATCAAACCCATACATTGTGTACAACAGTATTGTGTTTACTATTGTCTCACGTATTATATCATCGCTTATGTTATTAATGACACAAACTTTTTAGGATTAAGTCATTTAATTGTATAGTTATTTGTCTATACGAGTGGTGTGTCTGGTCTGTGGCGAAGATCTAGCAATGAGTGTATCGTCGTCTCCAGAGATTAGCAAATGGTTGTTGCGATGAGTGGTGGTATTGATGTGGGACTGGGAGGACTGGTAGCCAAAAAGCCTATGTGTTGTGTGTGAATGAAGTGGTGATAGTATCCTAGCATTGATTGTATGTTATTATTGCTGTAATAACTACTACTAAGACATGAATGGTCTGCCAATCACTTGGCCATCAAATCAGTCACTATAGTAGATATGATCACAGGATGTCTGTCCCCGTCGTGGCCATAGGCTACCAGTGCTGACCAGCCGTTCACTACACACTAGTGACAGATCTGTTTGTGATAACAGTTTGACATTTAAGTGCCATTAGGTGTTACCACCACTACTACGGGACAGGTATGTCAACACTGTTTGCTAACTAACCCTCGCATTTGGATCAGGGTTTCAGTGATCATAAGAAATGGCATTGCCATCAAAGTTATCACTGTTTGCATTACACACATAACACACACACCACTGACTGTCATATAATCAGTGATTTACATATACTTTACTATCAAATGCGATAACATTTAGATTTATGTTTATTTAGGCATAAGTCGCCCCCAAATTAGATTAAGCATTGAATTACATTCACTTATTTATATCATCATATGATTGTGTTATATAGCCATTAGTTTATTATTTTTAATATGTATTAACTTCATATTAATGTATTTTTAATTACGTTAATGTAATTAATTTTTGCGATATTTTTATTAGTGTTTTGTGTTTTAACCTTTGTTTTAGTGAATAATTATGAATTGAATGCATATTACGTGAACAGTAATGCAGAAAATGTAAATGTAAGCCAAAAACAAGTGTAACTCAATAACCCGTCCCAATAGTGTTATGAACTTATTTTACAAAATTGATTGTCTTATAAGGAAATACATAAATCAGTGGTGACTGTGATGTCTGTGTTGTTGGGTTTGAAACACATTTCTTACACTCATTTGCAAACTAACCCTTAAGTGATGTGAGGCTACAAATTGACTCCTAATTCCTATACGAGTATTCATTACCGTAACATATAATTAGGATATACACACATTGATAAACGCTATTTTAAACTTGAAATTCATAGTAATTAAATGCATTTTTTGTGGTTTCGTGTCAAATATAGATAATGGATATAAAGCTACTGCACAAGAGCTCAACATTTGGCAATTTCAATAGTCATAAGCTGAGTCTAAGCAATTGGTTCTCATCCCTGGGCCTCAACAACTCGCACCACAAACGCAAGAGTACATCGCAGCTCAAGAACTCCAAAAGTCTCAGTCAGTATCTCATCCATGCACTTTTTATAGCCATTTTCACGCGTACAGTATCGAGCACACATAGTTGGCTACAAATTGATTGAAAAAATGTATTTTTTACAATGTTTTTGTTCGCATACATACAATACTCGCCGATCGTGTGATTCACATCCTTAACATAAAAGTCTATTAATATTTGTATATAACATAACTCGCGGTGGAAATAGAAAATTGTTTCAAAAACTCATTCATTGCGATCAATTGACAGCTGACAGTGTAGTTGCTGTTTGGTGTGCCCTCCCTTTCCCTCTTTTCACTCTCATTCTCTGTGCTATTTTCTATCTCAATGTACAGCCAGTCTTCTCATTCAAAAGCGAAACACATCTTTACTTAAATATTGAGCACATATTGAAGCCAAGGCTGAGACGAGACTTTTCTTTTTCGCCTAAAAAACTTTTACTTTTTGTATACTTTTTAAGAGATACAACAGATTTGTGTTTATTTGTGGTGCACTCCCACTGCCTGCCAGTCCTGCACAACCGCTATATCTCTCGCAGCCATCCCTGAACCGCCTTCGCTACTAATGGTTAATCGCATGCAAACAATTAGTTTTCAATTAAAACTTCCTATTCATTACTCTTTTCTCATTGATTTGTATGACTCGAGCAATACTGTATAACCACTGGATCTCTCTCTCTCTCCCTCTCCCTCCCTCCCTCCCTCTCTCTCTCTCTCTCTCGGCAGACACGCTCTTAATGTGTTTTTATGAATACATTTGTTATTCATTAATAGTCGCTCTCTTTCACTGTCACCAGAAAACTGTTTTCATCTGTGATTTTGAGAGTCGACTATAAATAGCACTTAAAACCACTGCCTAATACTTATAGCAATTGTTGGCAATTTGTTTCCCCAATCCAAGAGTCAAGTGTTTAAACTAATAATTAAATGCACTTTTGTTTCTACAAAGACATGATTTATTTGTTGATTCAATACCGTTGTTAATATTAGCCCAAAGTCTGAATAAATATTTCTTCTCTCATAGAGTTTATTATTAATGATTTTTTTTGTACAAATAAACCATTTTATTGGCACTTGGATGCGATAAATGACTGCATTTTTATTTTTAAAATCCAGTTTTAATTGCAGGACATCTTTATGTATTCATATATTACTCTACTATTAAATATTTCTACGAAATATGAATTAATAGACATAACTGAAAGAGTTGTAAAGAGATTTGTTTAATATATTTGTCGATAAGATATTCAATTCACAAAAGGATATAAATATATGTGTGAAATACTGCAGTAAAGTTAGTATTACATTAAATTATACTGTAGTGCAGTTAAATGTTGAGCGAAAGTGGCAGTGAATGAGTAGTATTTGAAAGGATATATCCTTATAATAATGTCGAGTCTTATACGAGAGACTAGTATTCATTTGATCCGCGAATTGTGATTTTCCGAGCGATTATTTTCCTTATTTCATGTCTTGTGAAACGATCGTGACATTTGTGAGTGACAGCAGTTCTGGTGCGAACTCGTCCACGCCTTTCCTCACCAGTAATACCCCTATTCACTCATCTCTTATGTTATGTAATGTTATGTCTATTTGAGAGACTGTTTGACCATTTTATCGGTGATGGCATCAAACAAAGCGGTCATTAATTGAATGCGAAACTCATTTAAATGAATGTGTATTTGTTGTGATGTCTCTCGACAATAGGGTTTCATCGCAAATGATAAGTCGCTATAAAGTAGTTGTTCCCTAAGAGTAGAAACGATTGCATTCATAGCATAGTGTGTCTTGAGTACAATAGGCTTAAAGGGAACTGTTATGTAATGTTTTGCCAGTTCCTCGTATTTATCATACGCTTGGCTTAAAATTTTTGAATATAACCATCATTTAGGAGACATTTCACCCGATTTTTCATTCCCTTAATCTGTGTTCGATCTGTTCCTCAGTCTCTCTCTCTCTCTCTCTCTCTCTCTCTCTCCTAGTGTTTCCTCTTTTCACCAAACATTACACACATATATATATTCCTCGCAGAGAATAGGACTGGTATGTTATGTTATGCTCTCTTTTTAATGCCAGTGATAACAGAGAATTGTGTCGAGAATTACACTATTGATCAAAAGGGAAGATGAACTTTGAGACGAGTCGTTATGGTAACCATTGCAAGGATGTTGCACTCGTATATATATGCCATACCAGTGCTCTCACTGTTTGCTCGCAAATCACTTTTTTATTTCCATTGAAATATTGATTAATGTCTTGAAAATCGATGCTATCCTTCCTCGTGTGTGTCTATACTTCTCGCTCATTGGTCGAAAAGTATTTTAAATTTTTGTTTTGTTTTATTTGTATTTGTTTTGCGAAGGCGTTGTCCACGAAATGCCGCGAATCGGTTCCGACGGCGAGAGTGAAGAGGCTTCCGGTGCATCGGATGAAGTGATTTCTCCCGTTACTAAAAGTCATTATATCAGTAACAGTAATGTCGGCGCCAATGGGAACGTGCGGATGAGGGCTCACCGCTCGCGACGGCTCAACGCTCAGGACATCAGCAAACGGCTGTCACTGCCGGCCGACCTGCAGCTGCCCGAGAGCTTCCTCGCCAAACAGACCCTAAGCCCCACACCCGACGGACCACTCACTCGCCAAATGCGGAGACAGTCATTGGTTTGTATTATGTTTTGTCATTGATTTTGCGATTTATGTGTTTGTGTTGGCTTTGGAGACTAATTGGGCTTTGATTTTGTGTTTTTGCGGTCAGAATGAGATCGGTTTCGGGCGAATGGAAACGTACACCAAATTAGACAAATTGGGAGAAGTATGACATCATATACGATGACAAACACATTAATGTCAAATCAATACTCACTCCACTGTGTGTTTTGTGATGAATCTCTTTCCAGGGCACATACGCTACTGTATTCAAAGGCAAAAGTAGGTTAACCGACAATTTGGTTGCGCTTAAAGAGATCCGACTCGAGCACGAAGAAGGAGCGCCTTGTACTGCCATTAGAGAAGGTATGGCATCCCTTTCCCCTTTGCTAACAATTACACAATTACTTTCTATGTCTATCTATGTGTAGCTACAGTATATTGTAGTGAGAGTTGGTTTTGCGTAAAACTCTTGTTTTTGCTACAATTACTGCCAAATTTTCAAGTCTAGACTTTAAAACGTAGGATATTTTATAAAATATGAAAATCAGCTTAAAATAAATATCATTATTTAAATAGTGTTTATCAAATCAATTTTATGTGAAAAATGGGACTTATTTTTCATTAAAAAGTATTTTTCCTATTTAAATTCCCATTTAATTCCCTTATTTTCATTCATTACATACACGACAATAAATGAACTTTTATTGTGTTTTTTAGTTAATGAAAGTACAGACAAACCTAGTGTTTAAGGGATTAATTAGGATTTGGAACAAACAGTAAATTATGTGAATTTAATCCCAATTTCATGATAGAAAGCATTCATTTTATATTACGATAAATCTATAGTATTATATCCAAGTCTCTTGGCATGGAAAAATCTAATCAATCAAAAATGGCATAGCTTATAATGCACAATTTTTTGTTAATTCAAACAAATTTTCATTTTGAATTTGTTACATTTGACTTTCGTTTACATTATTTTATTGTTTATCATTATATCTTAATTATACAATGTTTGCACATAACATAAACTCAACTCCCATTTTCTAGTTAATTGTATCTAAAATTAAAAACCATTAATTGTTGAGGCATAAACATTAATATAAAATAAATTTGTTTATAGTATCACTTCTAAGGGATTTAAAGCACAATAATATAGTGACTCTTCACGACATCGTTCACACAGAAAAGTCTCTGACTTTAGTTTTTGAATATTTAGTAAGTTTTGCTATTTTTTGATTTATTCCCGGATTTTAATATTCTTAATATTTAAATATATTTTCCTTTTTTTGTTTCTAATCAGGAAAAAGATTTAAAGCAGTATATGGATGACTGCAGTAATATAATGAATATGAATAACGTTAAGGTATTGATTGCGTTGAATCTTATTTGCATTCATATGAATGCATTCGCGGTTGACGTCAAACTAACTCATAATCCATTAAGCAGTATATGGATGACTGCAGTAATATAATGAATATGAATAACGTTAAGGTATTGATTGCGTTAAATCTTATTTGCATTCATATGAATGCATTCGCGGTTGACGTCAAACTAACTCATAATCCATTGCTATGACAGATATTTTTGTTTCAACTCTTAAGAGGACTTAATTACTGCCACAGAAGACGTATACTTCACAGAGATTTAAAGCCACAGAATTTGCTCATCAATGAAAGGGGTGAACTCAAGTTAGCCGACTTCGGGTTGGCCCGCGCTAAGTCAGGTATGGGTAGCCTTTCCCCTGTCGCTCAGTTAGACATGTATTGACTAAACTGTTAATTGAATGGTTCAGTGCCAACGAAAACCTATTCCAACGAAGTGGTCACTCTATGGTATCGACCGCCGGACGTACTCCTGGGCTCAACCGAATACACCACGTCTATAGACATGTGGGGCGTCGGCTGTATATTCTTCGAGATGGCCAGCGGTCGGCCACTATTTCCCGGTTCGACAGTAGAGGACGAGTTGCACCTTATATTCCGAACACTGGGCACACCTACCGAACGCAAATGGAAAGGGATCACCAAAAGAGAAGAGTTCCTAGCATTCAATTTCCCACACTATGAGCCCGAGTCCTTCCTCGACAGAGTCAATAGAGTGCCGCGACTTGACTCCGAGGGAATGGACCTCTTGAACAGATTTCTTAAGGTTTGTCATGATTTTGTTGTTTGAAGTTATTTATGACAAAAACTTATGACACAATTTTCGTAATGATTTATCAAAAGTCATTAAAACACATGTCTATAAATTGATTCACTAATTGACGTTATGTTTGGGTTATCGTTAATTAAATGCAATAAATGATTAAAAATTGTGTCAAATCCTTAAAAATGCTTTTATTATATGTTATCTAATAGTATGTATTGAATATAATGTAATGTTTTGTTTTCTATGACTGACACACAGTACGAGCCAAAGGCGCGGATGACTGCCAGCGAGTCGATGAGACACTACTACTTCTACAGCTTAGGTCCACAAGTGCATCGACTGCAGGACACGGAGTCGATATTCTCGATCCCATCCATACGGTTGAGCCGCGACCCGGGCAGTCGCACGTTCCCCAACACAGGTCCGATCTCACACTCACGCCACTCCTCCTCCTCCCACTCCAATGCTAAACACTTAACGCAATCTTATCGACACTCGTGTTATCTCTCCTCACTTTAGCCCTCAATGGAAGGCACAGACGACAGAGTCTATTGCTGTGACACCTGAGAGGGGACTAAAAAGCAGTGAGAGGTCTAAACCATTATTTTCCATATCCATTGGCCATCACTTCAAAAGCCAATTTCAAAATGTCATTAACACTGAATCACACCTACATTTGTGCCAATTCTATAAACACTACTCTTTTTCTACAAATGTTTGTCATTTTTTCTTCCAAAACATCACTCGATATAAACAAATAATTCAAACTATTTGTTGAAAACATCACAAAAAGAAAACACTTTTTTAATCAGAAGACAATCCGATCCCTGTATTTGACGCCTAAAAGCATCCAATGCTTAGCTTTTTTAGAGTATAACTCAAAGATCTATCGCTTATTTATGTTTTTATTTCTATTTTTTGGTTATATTTTGCTTTTTAAATTATTATTTGGTATTACTATTGATTTTAATATAATCATTATTTATCATTGCAAATTTTTCCTGTACTGTTTTAAATCAAAAACTAGTTTTTCTGATTAGAAAATGAAACGAAACTCCGGTTTCCGGTGGCGATTGGCTGCCAAACGAATTATTTAGATGCCATCGGAGACTGAATACGATTTGCACAACAAATTTGATGCACTTTTCTTATATTCATAAAGAAATACAAGTAAATTGTATGTCTGGTTCTGATTACGATTGCAATTATACGGGCAATGATTGGCAACAAATCATGTGTTTTAATAGAGAAAGTAATGGAAGCGCTTTCTGTGATGTGAAAATCGCTCCCAAATTATGTAATGGTTTTGCCATCGGATTTCAAATCAATGCTATAATAGACGAGAATTCGTCCTAATTTTTTGCTCAATTGATAAGAAATTTTATGAAACGATTTGAATATCGGTTTTCTATTGAAAGTCTTTTTAAGAAATGTATTATAAATTATGTTAAATACCAAAAATTAGTTTTTAGAGATTGGTCTGTAATATAACTTATACGACAAATCGCCAGAAACTGATTGCATTTACGGTTTAATTTGAGTAATAATTGCCTAACGAATGAGTTTTTGTATTTGCATTCCACTCAACAAATATTTCTCATTTAAGAGTTTTTTGTTTGAACACAATTATGTTTCAATATAGCTGTACATTTCAATAGAGAGCATATAATCACAAACATTATGTAATATTTGTCATAAAAACTATTCATAAATTGTTTGAGAATAAATTGTTAACCCTTTACAACAAACAACTTAATAAATGAAAAATAAATAAAATAGTCATTCAATGAAGTAATCCTATGTGTTTTTCATTAAATTATAATTTCTATTTATTCTATGATCTATAAAATGTGACATTTATTTGGTGTTGAATGTGTTCACCAGAATATCTGTGGCCTCCTGTTTGTGCAGTTCTCCGATTCCGACGGCTGGTGTCGAAAGTGGGGGTCGACCCACATATCGTAGCTATCAATGAGAAATTCCCCAAAAATCATTAATAAATGTCAATTTTATGGCAATTTATGCCAAGTTCACTTACTTTTATATTGAAAAGATCTTGAAACCTAGGTCTCACGTAACTCCAGGCGCCCATATTCTGGTGCTCCTCTTGACTCCATACGAATTCTGTGCAATAAATCAAATTTATATTAATTCCACAATTAATTGAATTAATATATCACACCTTTTGCCGACTTATATTTGGACAGTTGTGCGGATATGTCAGTGGCCGGAAAGGGACACAACTCCTCCAAACGTATTAAAGCGATTTGTTTCCCATTTTTCTCGTCTCTCTCTTTACTCAATGTATAGAAATGTTTTCCCGAACACAACACCACTGTCTTCACATCATTATCGTTAGCCACCGACTGATCACTTAATACTGGTTGGAAGGACGAGCCGTCCGTCAACTCGGAAATGCCGGACACACAGGACGGGTGCCGCAGAAGTATCTTCGGCGTGACAGCAATCAACGGTTTGCGGTAATTGCGGATCATTTGGCGCCGAAGCAGATGGAAGTACTGCGAGGGAGTGCTCGGGTTAGCGATGGACCAGTTTATATGATCCGAATCCATGGCGTCCTCTTTAGAGTCACACATTTGTAGGAAGCGCTCGATTCGACACGAAGAGTGCTCGGGACCTGTTGTTCATTGGATCACATATTAAGTGGTTATTTATAGTGGTTTTTGAGATAATGGCCCACAAATAGTATAATACCTGCGCCTTCATAGCCATGCGGTAGAAGTATAGTGAGTGGTGATGACAGCCCCCACTTGGTCTCAGCCGATGACAGGAATGTATCGAAAATAATTTGTGCGCCATTGAAGAAGTCACCGAACTGTGCCTCCCATATCACCAAATGGTTGGGGTTATCGATACTTAAACCCCATTCGTATGCCTTAATATGAGATTATTGTGTCAAACAATGCAATCAAATGTATGGTTTGATTACCAAAACGGCTTCTTCGCTGAGTATTGAATTGCAAACTTCGATAAAACCCTTTTGTTCGGCAATTAATTTATTTAATGGTATATAAGTATCGTCGCTCTTCTGGTCCACTAACATGACATGCCTTTGACTGAATGTGCCTTAAGATATGGCAATCATTTTAATTGTATTTTTATTAATGTTATTGTCAGACATGAATACCTCTCCCGACGTCTTGACCAGAGATCCTTACATTGAATCCCTGATACAATAGTGAGCCGAAAGCCAGTGCCTCAGCCGTCGCCCAATCGATTTTGACCCCTTCTTTCAGTTTGTTAAGCCTTTCATTGAGAACTTTGTTGAGGTTTGGGTGCAAATTGAAGTCCTTTGGAGTTTCAATAGATTTTGAACAGATGTAGTATAAGACATCTGATCCGACACTAGTATCCCATCGAGTAATTGCTTTATTGGACGCCTGTGTTATATGACTCCAAACACCCTTGAAGTTTGTGTTGACAGGTTTGTAATGATTTATGTCTTGGAAGTGCAGATTGAGAAAACCTGAGTATTGGTCGACAATTAGTTGTCTTTCATCACTTGTTAGCACTTTATTTGCATATTTCTGAGGTATAGTCATATCACGAGAATGTATGGTTGAATACATGATAGGATTGGTATAAGTCGGGTCATCCAACTCATTGTGACCCCAATGGCGATAACAGACTAAATCAATGGCAATATCTTTGCCAAACTTTTGTCTGTATTCCAGAGCAAACTGTGTGGCCATTACCACACTCTCAGGATCTTCACCGTTCACGTGAATACAGGGGCCGTCAATGGCTTTGAGAGTATCGCTGCAGTAAAGGGAAGACCTTCCGTGACTAATCTGACCCGGAGTTGTGTAACCAATTTGATTGTTGACTATTAAATGAATGGACCCGTCGGTTGTATAATGAGGAACGTTAGCCATGGCCAGGGTCTCCATTATGATTCCCTGTCCAGTAAAGGCAGCGTCTCCGTGAACTTGAATGCCTAAAATTGGCAATATTTCATTGGTGTCACCATAAGGGCCTACATTTTTGGTCATGGCTTTGCCTCTGACTTTGCCACAGACTACAGGACTTATGGCCTCCAAGTGCGAGGGGTTTGGCAGTAGTATAATGTGAACCGATTTGTCACCAAATTGTTTGTCTATGGATGTGAACATATGCGAGAGTACGTCACCGGTGGCACCGTTAGCCTCGCTTAAGTTAAACTCCGGTTTGCCCAGCATTTTCTGAAATAGCATAACGGGCGGGTAGTTCAGTGAGTTGGCCAACAGGTTGAGTCGTCCCCTGTGAGGCATTCCTATAATGACATCCGATATGTTGTGCTCTGCACTCGACTGAAAGATGTGCTCAAAGAAGGTGATCATCGTCTCGGAGCCCTCTCCGCCGTATCGTTTGACTGATGAAAACTTTTTGGTGAGAAACTGATCGAAAAGTTCACATCTCAGCAAATCTGTTGCCAACAGTTTTCTGCGCTCATCAGTGAATGTGGTGTTGGCTGTGATGTCTTCCCACTTGTTTGCGATCCAAAGCCGTTCGTTGGCATCAGTCAAGTGCATGAACTCTATGCTCGCGTTTCCGCAATACGTTTGCTTCAGAAACCACACCATCTCCTCGACTTTGCACTCATTTCGGCCCATATTTACGAACTCTTTCGGATCGATCACCGACTGATTGGTCTCGTAGTCACTCAGCTCTACGTGTAGGGCATCCCAACTCTTAGGCTCATTCAGCGCCAGCGGATCCAATCGGCTCAACAAATGACCTCTACTTCGAAAACCGTTAACCAACTCATGAATGTCTACATTATATTGAGATCTCTTTTTTATGGCACACTTTTCCGATGTAAATGGATTTTGTTTTGGTTTATAGCCATAAACTCCACTAATCGTATGATATTTCAAACTTTTAATGATCTCATTGTGTTTCGCGATGTGTTTCAATGCATTAACTCGGGATATATAACACATGCCAGACATTTTCACTCCGGTATTAAATATACATTAAACTAAATTATATATTAAATAACATGGTTTGAGAAAACAATATATATGTGTGTGTTTTGTGGTAATAAAGATTAGCTAAACATCTCTAAAAAATGATCTGAAGTTCTGAACATTGAGTTCAAGGATAGCGTGAATGTGAGAGTTGTTTCAATTGATAACATTAGGCGAAGACTCTTTCCTAGTATTTCAAACATTGGCAACAAATCATATAAATGAGTAGATTGTATGATATGTGGTGTCGAGTAATTGATTTGAATTGCATTCAAGGCAATATGTTAGGTTCAGGTTAGTTACCAACCCTTAGCAAGATTACCTCCAGAATCTGCTACTTTCCCATTACTTAACAAAATTGATTCGTTAAAGCAAATTCCTTAATTAGATTTGTATTTATATAACCATAAAAAATTCATATATTCAATATATTTAACTCTTACGAGTAGTTTGAGCATTTTTGATGAGTTGTATAATTAAGTAAAAACCATATGTTTATCAATATTTATTTAATTACCAGAATGTGATAACTAAGGAAATACTTTCATGATTTGCTCAGCAATTATTTATTTGCAAATCGTTTTTGTTAGTGATTTTAAATAACATTCTCTAAAACAACTGAATAAATGCTTATTATTACTGAACAAAGATAACTTTAAAAACAATTCTGTTTTATTCCTAAATTAAACTAAAGTTTAAAGTATTTTTATGGCAACAGACAATACAAACGTCAATACAAAGCCTAAAAATCAAGTTTTGCTTATTTTCCAAAATAATTTATGCTATGAATGACTGAGTGATTCCTTATGGGAAAGGTATTTGTTTGTTACACATAATCAATGAATTCACTGATAAACTTGATAAACAAATTATTGTATGAAGTTTAATATTTCCATAAATAAACCAACAATTATTCAAAAAAAATCAACATTTGCGTCAATCAATGTCACAAACAGTTGTATATATTTTTTGCCAAATATTTCAGACAAAACACTTGTCAGCAAAATATGAATGAAAACCAACAACTGTTTGAATACTTATTCTTGGGTTATAGACACTAATGTCTGATAGCGTGAGACAAATGATCACCAAATGAATCGTCAAATTCTGGAATTTCCTATGATTTCTAAGAATACATTTCTCAATTAGTTTTTATTTCTCAATGATACATTACATAACAATAATAATTAATTTACTCGTCGATGGCATTATAAAAGATTTTTTTTGTTATTCATTTGAGTGTCATTTCATTTCCTTATTCTAACGAATCCTAAACTAAAGAGATTTTATCTGATGTGTAGGCAAAAGGATTTTCTACACAAATTGGTTTAAGTTAAATAAATATAAGATAGAAATAAATATGTGATAATAAATTCATATTACGGCTTAATTGAAACAAATCCCAACTCAATTGCACTCAAACTCTATGGAAACTCTAATTAATTGTTATATTTAATTACATATTCATTAAATACCCTTATGAAATATTGATCTGCGGTAGAAATTCAATACATAACTAATTTACAATAATTAATTCATATCCATGAATATTCTGCAATATTCCTATAAAACCTGATCTAATAATCGATTCTAAAAATAAAGTATATAATAATACATTCATACAGTAACAACAATACATATCTAATATATTCATGCATTAAGAATATAATAATGAATTCAAATAACTTATTTGTAATTCTAATCAGTTTTCAGTGAATTCTCTGTAAAATTCATTACTTTTAAGACAAAATATGAAAGAAAAACATAAAACCACACAAAAGAAAAAACCTAAAGATAAGAATACAGAGACCCAAAAGCCAAAAGAGACAAAAAAGACCCTGAACAATCCCAAAATGGACGCCGAAGCCCGTCACGACACATCCACTGAAGACAAGACTAAACTATTTTGTCCATACGTTTGCTGTCGACCAACATTTGGTGTCATATCAATGATATTATTTCTCGCGTCTCTCCACTGCCTTATATATGTGTGTTATGTATACGTGAATACCGCCGACTGTTCCCAATGCGAGGCCCACAGCGAACATGTGAAATGCAATTATTGCGATACAGCGGTCGACCATTTCGTATACAAAGACCAGACCTTTAATCGAAACCAAATGGTCGCCTACTTAGCGGTCATTATGTTAGTCCGATGCCTGGCTTTCTTCACCGGTTTCATCGGCGTCTTCCTCATCAACGTCTATCTAATGACAACTTATCTCATCCTTTACTTCGGTCTCATAATAGCCTTTCTCTTAGACTTAGTATTTATTGGGATTGAAGGTTAACTCAATTAGCGTGCATTTCAATTGGTTTACACTAACAGTGCTTTGATTTGATAGGGAAACCCGTCAAAGAGTTCATGTTCGGCGGGACTCGAGTGTCACTCGCTATCTGGTTATCAGTCTATGTGTTGGAAATGAGTCTATTCATAATGGGCTTAGTCTTAGCGCACAAATACGTGTTAATAAAGTTTCAGAAATAAAGTTTTATAGCAAACATCGCTAAACACATCCAAACTATACACCTATAGATTCATTATTTATGCCTCCATTAGATAGCAAACAAAATTCAATTCATTAAATAAAACTTTTTGCTGTTAACCAGAAATGTTTTGCAATCATTTAAAATGTTACAAAACACTCAAAAAATGTCTCCACTGGTACCAGTGTAATTTACTACAATTATCCAATATTAATAATTAATCATTCAATTGAATAAATTGTATGTAAAGGGCAAACAAAAGCATATGATCGCTGACGTAATAATAAACCATTTAAATATAATTAACTTAAAAATAATGAAATGAAATAACATTTTTAAAACAACTTAAATATTTTATTAAAGTGTTATGTGTTTTCATAATAATAATAATCTTCAAAATACAAAAGTATTACCACTTTTAACATATAGAATATCTATTTGTGTAGACATAGTGTCAGAGATTATCATCGCTTAAGAACTTTCTCTTTTTATTTGTATTCATATAAGGCTTAAGAATCCATTCAGAATCGGCTGCGTTTGCGATGTCAATGGTTCCCAATTTTATTTCATACAATTTCATCTCAAATCGGGGCCCGACTTCAGACAACTCTACCTTTCCGTCCACTTTCTTATAGACGTGATGTCTAAATGAGATGAAGTCGTCTTCGTTGGCAAAAGTCATCACACGTTTGGAGTCCTCTTTGGGCACTGGAAACAAATACTTCAATATATTCATCACTCGTCGGCCTAATCGGGACTTCAGGTTATGAAAGATGAGGTGCGGGTAGGCCTCGGACATGGTTCCCATGTTGGGGATGTCGTGTCTCATCACTGTATTCGTCAACTGGAAGTAAGCGGTCGGTCCGTACGGCAGGTGACAGATCACGAGACCGTCGGGCTCTCCACGGGTCTCGTGGACTGTAATGAAATCCGTCACATCGTTGGCGCGACAAGAGTTGATCAGTTGCTTCAGTTCATAATTGCCGCGATTCAGGCGCTGACAGTTCGGGAACAGTAGCTTCAGCTCCTGTGTCCACCAGAAGACAGACAGACAGCCATTAGATCGCAGGAAATATATTGCAAACAAATTATCAAAACCTTAGCAAACATTTTGAGCCGAGAGGAGGGGTCGCGCGAAGTGGTCACCACTATCTTCGGGTCCTCGACGCCCGCCCACCGGTACTCGTCGTCCTCATGACTGGTCACCAGTTCCGACGCCTCGTCGTCCCACTCGAGCACTGACTGCAACTGAAGGGCGCCTTTCTTCAGGTCCGTCGGGATCTCCTTATTCTCTGCGATATATCAATACAATTGTCATTCAATTACTCTGAACGCCAACAAGTGGTCACTCGTGCGGCCATACCATCGAGTGATCTCTTGATCTGTTGCTTCCTCTCAGTCACCACTCGTTTCTGCTCTTCTAATGCCTTTCGATACAAATACTCCCTTCGGATCCGTTGTTGTCTTCGTATCTAACCATTCAATGCAATCCATTAGCCATTCATTCAAAGCGACAATCTTTTCATAAACCATACCATTATTTCAATGGATATACCCTTCAAACGATTGCCAATAAATATCAATCAAAACAATTGAACAAAAGTTTTAAAGTTTTAGTTGTTTTTTGTTACAAAAAACTGTGTTTTCAATAGTTATGTGAAACACATTTCATTTCAATGCCAGTCATTGATAGCACACATGAATGCAGTGTTTATTGCGGTTATTGTTTCACTCGTTATTAGTATTGAATGCTTTTGTTGTGTAAATTGAGTTCAATATCGTATTCAATGTGTTTTAATCGCTAATTATTATCAACACAATCACAACAAATCACATGTAATTAGCGCTGATTTTCACCACTATTTTGAGACACAAAACGTGTTTTAAGTTTTTAAAAGCAAATACCACTGGATATGAATGACGTGAACCATAGGCAACTTTATGACCAACTATGATCCAGGTATTTGTATGTGATATCTGTCATGTTTTTGTATCTAAACTTGTAAATCATAATCATTGCCACCATATGTCCTCCAAATCGGTGGTTAATCTGTGAATTAATTGTTGTTTATAACCAAATCAATGGACTATTTGCATCAAGGTGCATTAGCCGTAATTACTGTTTGTTATGTAAATTATCATTGCCTCACAAAAAAATATTATTGGGAGTATTGTAGGGAGGAGGGCATACTTTAGATTTCAAATAGTACTAGATCATTTCACTACTTTCTTATAATTAACCAATTAGGTAATTATAATCTATATTAAATTAATTTAAACTAGTAAGCCAGCTCACTTTTATGATGTAAAGGAGCTATTTGTAGGGAATTTGTGTGCATTGAGGGAACGCCCTCCCAGTGAGTGTATGTATGCACTGACTGTCACTTCCAATGATTACGTCATACATAATGCATACACCGATAGACTGTCCGTAAGTGTCGTGCAATGCATTGATTGCATGTCTCACACAAACACCACTCCTTTGGTTACCACTCGTTATCATATGTTTGTCTCAAATGAGTCACAAATTGTTACAATTATTGCCTCACAATCACTCATTTATCACACAAATCACAGTCTATTGTAATGCATGAATGCAAACATAGATGACTAATAATATGTTATCTCTTATCAGATCAAAGCTTAACTTATCAGACAGAGTAGTACTCTAGTGATTGGCAGGTATGGGTCACCTATGAAACGAGTGGACAGTTATGTCAAATGCAGTGCTTTTGAGATAAACATAGGATTCATTGCATAATGCAATTTGCATTTAACATTATGTTAATAACATAACAGACACTACAGTGGCGTTCAATCTGAAGTGCAAAAAAGTTATAAAAGTTGAGCAAAACTTTTACAACTTTGAGGACATTTAGTAGCATTTTAATGGATAATATTGAATACCATTGATAAGGGATTGCATATAATTATGGCAAACATGTAATGAATAGATTTGTATTGGTTTTTTGTAAGCAAACAATTGTCTCATATATGAGAGCAATAAAAAGTAGCGTATTATGTATTACCCCACAAATCATTACACTGGTACACTTGTACACAATTCAATACAGTATCCCATAGTAGGAGATAGCGTCGGCTCACTGTAGGCACGCTGTACTCGCAGTACGTGAACGCATGACAAGGCTGTAGTGGTGTAGACAGTGTGTGGTAGAGGCGTAACCCTCCGACAGACAGTGCTATTGAAAAGGCAACGAATATACTCTATCGTAGTAAACGTTGCGTACAATCGAGTGAAACGCTTAGCAAAACAGTATTAACGCGAGTGACGAGTGTATCGACTGTTTGGTGGCAAACGTTGCCAATAGTGTAGTGATTGTAACCGCGATTCACACGATTTAGTCGCTATTTGAATGCCTGTATCGCCGACTGGACACTGATCTGAGTGCCACTCGTGAGCCGCCGTATGTCAGTGTCAAGCGCTGTGGTATTGAGTGGTGTTTGTGTGGCACTCAATACGCGACGAGTATTTTGTTTACAGTTATTACCATTCATTGCGAGTGTATTGTCGTCCCTATGAGTGACCCATTAGAGTGACGGATCCCACCGAAGAACACCCCAAACGGACTCCTAAGCAGTGTTTTTGTGTATGACTCGAGTGGCCACCACTATGGCGAAGATGTCGCGCAGCAGTACCACCACATCGTTGGATGAATACGAGCTCATGTCTGACGCCAAGTATCGCACTTACGTCCAGCAGATCGACAAAGCGTTGAAAGGCTTTGAGTACACGTCTGAGTGGGCGGATCTGGTCAACGCACTCGGCAAACTCAACAAGGTATACATGATTGCACACACATAGCATACATACATAGTAACGAGTGTGGTAACGGAGGCTGGAGGTCCACGACAGCTTATTGCAGTTTATGTCACATTAGGGCGCAGCCAAGTGTCAACCGGTCGCCAACCGCGTCTGCTACGTAGGCCGCGACGGTAGCCCGGTCCACCTCAAGGCACTGGAAACCTATGATCTCATCTTCAAATGCATTGGAACCGATCGCCTCATCCAAGAGCTCAGCATTTACTCCAACGGTCTGTTCCCGTTGCTCAGCCACGCGGCCATTAACGTGAAGCCATCGCTTCTGGAGATCTATGAGAAACACTTCATACCTCTGGGGCCGCGACTGAAGCCGGCGTTGGATGGCTTCCTGATCGCTGTGTTGCCCGGACTCGAGGAGAACGACTGTCACGAGCGGACGGATAAGTTGCTGCTCGAGGTGTGCTCTGCCGTCTCGCAGGAGTTCTTCTACGGCTCCCTTTGGCGATGCGTTTTGTATAACCCGTCGGTCCGACTGCACGCCATTATGTTTATATCGTCTCATTTCAACAAAAAGCGCAGTCTTGAGGACCAGTTGTATATAATGGGCACTTGTCTGCAGACTATGATCACCGGTATCTGCGCGGCACTGCTGGACACCACCAATGTGTTGGTCCAGCGGGCGATCCTCGACCTCTTGCTCTCGTGTTTCCCAATGCATAACAAACAGATCGCGCGACAGGACATGATTAGCATAACGACGGCCGCCATAACTGTGCTCTTGAGGAGAGACGTGTCGCTGAACCGTCGGTTTACGCAGTGGTTGACCGCTGAGGACAACTCGAACCCCAAGTCAAAGAGTATAGCCTTGAAATACGCCAAAAGTGTCGGCTCTGATCAGTCGTATTTCAATACATTCGCCAAAGAGCTCGTCTTAGAGGCCTTCAAAATATGTCTAATCGTAAGTCTATTCTCATATCCATTGCTTTCAATTTTAATTAACTTTTTATTCAATATATATTTGAGAGGATATTATATGTTTGTGTGTATAGTGTGTGACAAACACTGACAGTCTCTTATTTATCATGTATTACCGGTACGGCTATCGTTAAAATACTTGTTTTTATTTCATACAGTATTTAATGTTTTTCTGTGCAATACTAGCAGTTCTCCACTATAGTACAGTAATTATAAACATTTTTTTCTGAAGTTCACTTTAAAACAACAAACAAAAAAATAAATACTTGAATGTCATTGAAGCGAGTAATTACGGCACTGATAAATAGTTAACATTTTTTGTTTGTCTTTTTCACTGAACGTTAGGACCCGTCGACTGTAATCCCAATTCCGAATTCGTGGTCAAGTTTGGGAGACTTATGGCCGTATCGGTTGCTTATATGTATCATAGATCACAGGGATATCAGTCAACCCATTATCGACAGCCTGTGCATCGAAATATTGCGGTAATAATGCTTTCTATAGAGATTATACTTAATTATTCATACAGTTGTTTGATATGATATGATATGATATGATATGCGATGAGAAACTCAATAATTCAATAATACTATTATGAGTTAATGTGACTAATATTGACATTTGCTTTGCAGTGCATTATATCATGAGTTTGGTTTTGTGGGCAATAATAATAACAATAATAATAAGTCAAACAAAGCGGACTTATTGCGGACAACGAATCTGTTGTTCACAAACATCGGAATCAATTATTTATGGCAACACGTCTGCCAACTCTTCACCCATTCCTGCGCCCACTATAAACACATTGAACGCGAAGCCAATGAATGTCACGTGAAGTGTGTCGGCTTCGAGACGATCACTATTCTGGAGATGTGTTCAATCGTTAACTTCATTCTGGAGAACGTGTCCATTGAGACGCCCGAGAACTCCAGCCAAAGCTATTTATCGCAATTCCTGCTCCACGTCCTCAACGCACTCATCAGTTACGCGGATGTGCTTCAGAGCATCGATTTCGAGCACTCGATTAGGTTGTGCTCTAATATTGTCAATAAGATTAAGCCCACAATCGCTCAGACATTACAGAACCGACTTAAGAGAGAGGGCAGTGAACACAAAATGAGTGGTAAACCCACGCAAAAGATTGATTCAGTCATCAGAGAGGAGGCGGAAGACTGTGAACCGCAGCCGCTGTCGGAGGAAGTGCTGAACGAAGAGCTGTTCCAAAAATGTCTGATCAATACATTGCAGACACTGTTCAATGTGTTGGTTGAGAACCGTTTAGTGAAAAACAAAACTGATTTAAGCGAGTGTTTCGCTTCACTTCGAGTGTCATCTGTGAACAGCGATAGAGACATGAGTTTCGAGACACCAATCAAATCGATTGAAATCAATCCGCAAATGATCGACGTCTACACCCATTTGTGCCAACTGTTGGTCCAGATGTCGGCCATTCCCTCGCTGTCCGACAAGAAGACGAATAAACTTTTGTTTTCCAATTGCGATGAATTGCATCAATGGGTTCAACACCTGCTAGTGCTGGCCGTATATCCCGTGGACTGTCTGCAAGTCTGCTACTCATCCATATCAACCACTTTAGACTTAATCACATTAACCAAAGCCTTGCTCTTCGATCTGCCGGTCAGTCAGATGTCGATCACATCCAACGGATCACCAATTTTCGACTTCAGCACAAACGACGAGACGACGAACGGGAATAAGTCTCTAAACTTTGATCCAATGATATCGGCCAACGAATTGGCGTTTGTTTTTCATCAGACCTCGTGGTTCACGCAAACCACTAACAAATTATGGGCTAATCTTGAGGACAGTAAGGCTCACCTGCATTTGGAAACGGCAACACTTCTACAACAGTTACACAACTTAGCCGTCGATTCATCGGTGTGTGAGTCCGTCATCTGCACAGCAATGATATCTCCCGACGAAAACGTTGCGTACGAATCGCGCAAACGGTTCACCATTTTATATAACATCACGAGAGACATGAAAATGAAGACAATTCCGGTGGCAATGGTTCGCGAGTTCGATAGACCGCTGTTTTTCATGTTAGACAGTCTGTCGCACAAAGTGGACGCCCATAACCCACAAGGGTACCTAACCGACTTGGTCAGGGAGTTCGTGCCTCTGTAGCGGGCTTATGACCTCGGGGACAACAAGTAACACGACGTGGGCCTGTGCTCAGCCGACAGACACGTTGTGCGCTTGTAGGTAGTCGGGGGCATCGGCGGTGTGACGGACACGGCCTCCAAGTCGGGCGACGACATCGACAACGCTTCCATAGCCAACTCCGAGTCGAAGATCTACGCCATCAGCAGCACGGGAGGGAACGTCATATACCACGTGAACTCTGACGGCCGCATGCGGTTCGCGCCCTCACCCGTGCCCTCAAACAAAGTGCTGACACTCACGCAGACGGCCAACTCGTCGTCGAACTCGCATTCGCTTAACAAATGGATTACATCGAAGATAACAGAGGGCGTCATACTCCACGGCGGGTCAGTACTCTTGTTGTAATACCTATTCATGGACAGGTAGTTATACCACAACTTAGGCAAGCCGAGGTACAGGAGTGAGTTGTCGCTGCGCAAGCTCTATAAGCACTCCAGTTCCATACCATTCGCCCGATCCCTGCCAAACCTGTCGAACATCAGGCGTTTGGACACGAAGTCTATCAAATCAGACAATGTGACCAAATCGCCCACTCCTTACTCGACACCCATCCCGTCGAGAGCCACGACCACCTGTTCGACACCCATTCCCTCCAAGAAAATTATTGATGACTCCGAGCTTACAGATGCCGAAGCGGTGCAGTTAGTTCTCGAAGAACTGATCGATAGAGTGGTTTATGAGTTGGAGGACAGTTGCGAGTCAGAGGACAGTCAGACGGCTATAACCAATTCGGAGACGATAAGCGTGGGCCCCAACAGCCGGCCCGTAGCGCTGAGTCAACTGCACTCCCATATGCTTCTCTACCAACAGGTGTACGACTCGAAGCGAACGCTGTATGCGTTGACCACTCTTTGGAATATAATATTAGCCGAACCCCAGAGAGTGCTCTTCTCGATGGCCACCACTAGTATCAGCAATAGGTTAGGTCTGCGATCGCAGGAACTGCAGGCCATCTGCGCCCGTCATCGCAACTCTCTGTATGGCAAAGGCTTTTACAGTGACTTGAGTTCGGATTCGATCACATCGTTTAGGAGCAGTTCCTTCCTGGAAGTGGTGGTGTCGTCGTGTATGCAATACCTGAGGAGTTATTACCCGAGTTTACCGCAAACGCGACTCAACGACGACGAGATCGCCGGCAACCAAAAGGTGCGAATCGTTTCGTGCGAAGTCCTGCGACTGATATTCAATCAGTTGTCGGTTGCCGTGAAGGGGAAGCAGACGTTCTCCACGTATTTACATGATTTGCTGATGAGATGCAAAGTCCAGAAGTCGATCCTTCAGTGCATTGTTTCGAGTGTTTATAACTTCCAGAGTAAGAAGGAGCCCAACGCTAGCAGCGACACCGCCTTCGCCGACGCTCTCATTCAGTTCAACGAATGTCACAACACTTCTAATGGCTTTCAAGAAGACCTCCAGAAGTCTTTGCTTAAGCTATTGGAGGAACTGATGATTTTGGAGCACAGGGTGGCGCCCAACAGCTCCGACAAAGAGCAGCCGACACACAACAGGAAGGGGAGTGACTCGAGAGCCGCCAGAATCCGATTCCAACCCCAAATGTCTTCACTTAAGTACTACCCAAATATGTTAATACCGGCGCAGTCTATGTTCCTGTCGGCCATCCAGACAGCGCTACAACAGTCACATAAAGTCCATTTGCACTCCAATTGGTTAGAGTTGGTCGAGTCGACGCTCCCGTTCGCCGGGCGCTCCCTCTCGCGACTAGTGGTCTGCGTATTGACCCAATTGTGCCAAAATCTCGAGACCACGTCCGCTAAGATATCGACAAAAGCCATGAAAGACGACAAAACAGAGATGTCTTCAAATTATTTAATAGTCTTACTGAAGAGTTTGGCCACTCTTTGCCACTTCTGTCTACTGGACACGTCTAGTGCGGCGGCCAGTCCTACCCTATCGCCGCAGTCGCAGCCAATCACCTCCTCATCCACTCTAATCCAATCGAATTCTAATCCGTTTTCGGTGTTAACAAACTTTCTGCACGTCTTCACAGTCTCGGATTCAAACCCAGACATGTCGTCCGCGGGTCGGGAGGGCTCGGCTAATGACCCGTTAATATCGACCCGAAAAACAGTGTTAACGCATTTGCCGCGCGTTTTATCGGCTCTCCTAATGGTTTGGAAGCAAATAAAACTGTCGGAAAAGAGTTCGGTTGACAACGGCTGGCAGATAATGGGCAGCAGTAAGGAAGTGAAGCAAAACATCTTAAGCTTCTTATCGCCGCTGTCTCTCATCCACGGCTCGCATTTCATGACCGCTGTGGCCATTGTCTGGTACGACGTTAGAGACAACACGGGTGTGAAAAGTAAGAAACAGTGGACACAGAACTGTTCGTCCGATCAGTTATTGTTAGTGGAATTGGTGGCCGACATCCGAGTGCTGCCCATGGAGTCAGTGTTGCAGACAATTCGTCAGACAATGAGAGCGCCGCCCAATGCCAACAGCTCTAAGCACATGAAGCGGCCGCCCATTGAGGTCTGTATGTTGCAGTTCTTCCTCGCGTACATCAAAGCCTTCCCCGGCTCTCAACTGCTCGAGTGCTGGAAATCTGTGTTATCGCTGCTCAAAGAAGGCCTCCAGATCTCGTCGATGGCGCAGCCGTTGGTTCAGTTCCATCTGTTGGCTATCCTCCATGAGTTCGTTCAGGCGGCGCCTCTCATAGAGGACCGCAAAGACCAGAAGGATCTGCAAGACGTGGCACAGAAGTTGGTGGACGCGTGCACTACAGTGGCCGGCGCTCGACTCGGACAGACCAAGTGGTTGCGCAGGAATCTGGAGGTGATTCCCGGCCCGCAGGCCGATCACGTCGAAGATGAGGGCAACGACTTTGAGAACTCGTTCCACGCCATCGACTCCATGAATGGTAACTTGGATTTGACGAACATTTCGGAGGCCGACAACTCGTTCCTCTCGAAGTTCAGTGTCCAGGCATTGTGTGCTTTGGCTGAAGTGAGTCCATACTAGCATACTGTCCACTCTTGCTATGATCTCATGACTAATACGATTGTCTGTGTGTCTGTCCAACCAGTTTGTGGCGCCTGTTCTCGATGTGGTTTACGTGAGCGAAGAGAAGGAGAAAGTGGTTCCGTTGGTGTCGAATATCATGTATTATATCGTGCCGTACCTTAAGAACCGGAGTAAACACAACGCCCCGAGTTTTAGGGCCTGTTCTCACTTACTGTCAAATATGTCTGGATATCAATACACACGCAAAGCGTGGCGTAAAGACGCCTTCGAGCTCCTACTCGACCCGACATTCTTCCAGTTGGACTCCGAGTGCTTCGCCCACTGGAAGACAATTATCGATCACCTCATGACTCACGACAAGAATACGTTCAGAGAGTTCTTGAGCCGAATGTCGATCGCGCAGTCGAGTGGTGCGCTTAAGCTGTTCAGCAGTAAAGACCAAGAGATCGAACAAAGAGCTAATTTGGTGAAGAGGTTGGCGTTCATACTGTTCTGCAGTGAGAAGGATCAGTACCAGAAGTATATGTCCGAAATACAAGAGAAGCTCATCGAATCGCACCGTCTGAGTCAATCACCTCTAGTTCAGGCGCAGGTATTGCTCTGTTTCCGAGTCATTATTCTGCGGATGTCTGCCCATCACTTGACGTCGTTGTGGCCCTTCATCTACACCGAAATGGTTGGTTCT